GTCAGGGTCCTGCTTATGCACACACGCAAGCATGCACGCGTGCACGTTCCAGCAGCAGGCATTGCCTTGTTTTGGATGCAAATGAGAGTAAGAGTGGTATAAATAATCCCCTCAAAGTAGGTAACACAGAACCATCTGGGTGGTCTTTACAATGCAGTCTGCAATTTTCTTCTTTCTGTTCCTTTCCTATCCTGTCTTGTCCTCCTTTCCAACCCCCCCCCCCTCCTCCTGGTGCCAGCTGAACATTGTAGATTGTTTCTTTTTTTTTTTTTTTTAAGTTTTTTTATTTATTTATTTGAGACAGAGAGAATGAGAGACAGAGAGCATGAGAGGGAGGAGGGTCAGAGGGAGAAGCAGACTCCCTGCCGAGCAGAGAGCCCGATGCGGAACTCGATCCCGGGACTCCAGGATCATGACCTGAGCCGAAGGCAGTCGCTTAACCAACTGAGCCACCCAGGCGCCTTTTTTTTTTTTTTTAACGATTTTATTTATTTGACAGAGAGAGACACAGCGAGAGAGGGAACACAAGCAGGGGGAGTGGGAGAGGGAGAAGCAGGCTTCCCGCCAAGCAGGGAACCCGATGCAGGGCTCGATCCCAGAACACTGGGATCATGACCTGAGCCGAAGGCAGACGCTTAACGACTGAGCCCCCAGGCGCCCCTGTAGATTGTTTCTTGCTTCAGTTAATTATGGATGACGTTTGTCATTTTGAGCACACGGTAGATAATGATATGAGCCATAGCTAAAGGATGGGCAAAAAGTGGGCTTGGAATGTCAACTGTGCCATAGATGACAGGCAGTTTATTAAGGTCCCTAAATGTGGTTCCACTTGTACTTTTGTTCCTACTGAAGTCAGATCCCATTGCTCTACACTGCTGGATTCTGCCCACTAGCTCCCTGGAGCAGAAGGACCACCTTTTCCCCTCCACCCTGCAGCATGCATTTCACAGGGGCAATGGCTCATGTGGCATTATTTGTATTTTACCAGAATCGGAAACACATGCAAAGCAGGACACTGAGGGTACGGAGTCTTGCTTGTGAGAAATTACTGGCCCAGGAGCAGTGGTTCAATTAAAAGTAACTATACCCCAGGAGCAGCAGTGAGGCCTAGAGCACAGTGGGGAAGAGCTTGGGCTTTAAAGACAAACAGACCTGGGGCTGAATCCTCTCGTTGCCACTTATTAACTTTGTAATCTCTTAACTTCTCCTAGGCTCAATTTCTTCACCTGTAAAATAAGCCCCACCCCCTAGGAGCACCATTAAATGAGGTCACACATGTCAAGTGCAGCACTGGTGTGTTATCTAGACAGCAAACGTGCCTGGCACAATGGGAGCAACAAAGACGGGCAAGATGCAGACCTGCCACCTTGATAAGCTTACATCTTAATAAGAAAATCTATGTAAACTTAATATTTTAATATCTTTGTGCTATACTTTCCTCATCTATAACATGTGGACAACAATACCTATTTCATAAGATTAAATGATTCATGTACATAAAGTATTTAGAACAACATTGGCACATCATAGTACTTCAAAAGGTATTTATGATGCTGGTGGAGAGCAGAGTTAATATTTTGTGGAAAGGATTAGGAATTATTCTACAGAGAAAGTGACAGAGATGTGAGCTCGAAGGGTGGGCCCGGTATTGACAGGACATCCTGGGTGGAGGAATGATTGAGAACAAGGGTACAGAGGTGGGAAGGTTAAGGTGAGCTCAAGAGAGAGCCAATCACTCCATTTTGGCCACAGCAGGGGGTACACAAGGATAACCATGGAAGTCCAGGAAGGCTTTTTGAGAATCCTGAAATGCTAAGTGAAAATGCATACCTAACTGGGTAGGCAATATAGAAATCATAAGCTGGGCACAGAGATAGGCACTGGGAAAATTAATGTGTCCACGAAGTAAGGGAAATCAGAATTTCCATCAATGATGCAAATGAGAAGCTAGTGGCACTTTGTTTATTCATTTGACAAATACTTCTTTATTATGTGTGAGGCACCATCTTAGGCACTAGGTGTACAGTGGTGACCAAGGCAGAGTCCTCCTGGAGGTGATAGCCTAGTGGGAGAGATGGATAGACAAGCAATCACCCGGGTGACCAACTGCTCAGGTTTTCCCAGGATGTGGGACTTTCAGGGCTTATCCCAGGAAGCAGCATCATGTTCATTGTTCATTAAACACTTGTTCATTAAAACAAGGCAGGTTCCGTGGAGGGGCCTACAAGAGCTTCGACAAGAAGGGTATGTAGGACGAGTCAGGGATGGACTCCCTGAAGAAGCAACATGTGAGCTGAGATCTGAAGGACAGGAAGTCCACCCAGTTGAAGAATGAGGGAGAAACTGATTTCCACAGCAAGGCACTGAGGTAGAGTGACAAGATCAAATTTACTTCATAGAAAGGCCTTTATGGCATCGGTGTGGAGAATTTTTTGGAAAGCAGGCAAGAGCAGAATTTGATTGGACTAACTAGGAAGCTAGAGTGGGAGTTACATCAAAGGATGATTGTGGGAATCCTTCATGTAGTGATACTGTTACACACGCAAAACACAATGACCCTCACAGGCACAAAAATTATCAGACACGGAGAAGACCATATTGTATGATTCCATTGATATGACATTCAAGAACAGAATTTTATATGAATGAACTAACCTGTGGTGATAGATTTTAGAACAGTGGCTACACTGTGGGGTAGGTATTGACTGGGACAGTCATGAGGGAGGCATCTGGCAGCAGGCTGGAAATTATTTACATCTTTAGTAGGTAGGTAATTCCACCTACTAACTCACACCTGCTTTGTAGGTGTAATTTGTGCCATGGAAATGAAAAGAAGGTCTGATATATACCATTAAAAAATACATGCTCAAAGTTTAATGTTAAGGGGGAAAAGTAGAGTAAAAAATTACATATACACAATCATAACTCTCAAAAAAATCAATATAATAATAATTAATTTAAAATTAAAAGGAAAACATCCAATATTTGACATTGGTTATTTGTGGTGGTGGGATTTCAGCTGACTGATGTGAAGAGACACCCCAGGAAGGATTTTCAGAAACACTGACAATGGATAAGAGATTAACTATCCACTCTCAGCAGGCTAAGGATACGAATCCCAGTTCTGTTCTTTCCTAAGGGAGCGACTTTCAGCAAGTTACATAACCTCTTTACCCCAGTTTCTGCAACATTAAAAAAAGGGGTCATTATAAACAATGGTGCCTCCATCCTGGAGTTGTCTGGGGGACTAAATGTGAACGGTAAGCACAGCACCATGTAGGATAGTGAATCTTCAGGAAGTACCAGTTGTTGCTATTAAAGAAATCTTGAAGGCAGAAGAGAGTGAAGCTGTCCATGTTTGCACCAAATGCCCCTCTTCCCTGGGGCACTTGTAGGGATGGATGCTGGTGATGGGGATTTGAGGAGAAGGATGAAGGTCCAGAACAGTGACTGGGGGAATGTCAAGCTGAGCCCTGCTGGGGTGCAAGCTGAGCCATTTCTAGGGTGAAATCCTCCCACTCCCTCCCAGCCAGCTAGGATGGCTGCAACACTCCCGAGTTAGGAACTGCCAAGGGTGTTGTAATGGGAAGACAAGAAAATGGTATTCTGGGTATAAACTCCACAGGGTACGAAAATAAAGAATGTCATTTTACATAGGACAGTTTAAAGTTGAACATTTTGTGACTATGTATAACTACGGTTGTGATGTATATATAACATGATGTTATTTAAGGAAAGGAAATGACAAAAAACCCGTATCACATGCCTTTGTACATAGAGACACATTTCCTCTGTGCATTATCAAATAGCAAATATTATGATACCATATTCACATGCTATTTGAACACATGAAAAAAATTTTTAATTAAAAGTTCCTATCCCTTCTAGAAACTAGTGGATTTCAAAGCTTCTCAGGTAGAATTCGGGGAAATGTAATTGACATGCAGTCAAGGACCTAGGAAGCATGACATGCGCTTATACTCCAGGTATTTGCACCCCTCTTTTCCTTCTCAAGGGGACAGGCTTATGATATTTAATGCTGTCATTCAGAAGCATCATGTTCATTGGTTAGGCCACAAAGTGTTAAACTGACTTTAATTCAATGAGAATAAAAAGGAAATTACATATAAATCAGAAACCTATTGTGTCATACACAGAAAAACTACAATTCTGGAATAGGAAGCATAGAATTTTATTTTATTTTATTTTAATTAATTAATTTATTTATAGCAAGTTTCTGAAAAATCAATATTTTGAGGCCTAACCAGATTTAATATTATACTTTCACTCAGAGTATGAGCTGAGAATATTGTCAACATTTGCAGCCGTGTCTGCTGTCTTCCAATTGAAAATTGTCCAACATGATATAATGCACACAGGGTGTTCTGAAGAGCTATCTGAATAATAATGATATTGATAATAATGATATTGTCTACACTTCTACTAACACGTTTTTATGTAGCAGGTATCGTGCTGAGCATTTTGGGTGTATTAGCTAACTTACTTCCCACAACAAACCTGTGAAGGAGGTACTTTAGGCATTTTATTATATCCATTTTTGGGTGAGTACAATAAAGCTCAGACTAGGATGACCAACTGCTCAGGTTTTCCCAGGATGTGGGACTTTCAGGGCTTATCCCAGGAAAGTCCTGGGCAAACTGGATGAGTTTATCTTTCTACAAAAGTGACCTGCTTGATTTTTAAATGGTAGAGAGAAATTTAATCTCTTATCTTCTTGGCTGGTTAGATTTCCCACCTACTGCCAGTCCACCTCTAGATTATAGTCTACGATAGTTAAATAGGAAAAGACATTCTTTGGCAGCATGGGGTGGGGGGAAGGGTCTAGGGCAACATTATTTCACACGATGTAATTGAAAATGTCATTTTGCCTCTTTCTGTTCCCAAACCCCTGAGCCAGCGAAGCTGAACCTCCCTTTACAACATTTCCAAAGGGCTTGCATGTCACCATAATCTGACATTCAAAGTGAAAACCCACTCACCTTGGGAAGCGGGTAGAGATGACACAATGGTTGGCCAGGGTCCTGCTTACAAAACTCCAGGGTATGACACAACACATCAGCATTCATATCTGTGCTAAGCCTGGAGGGAAATGGGACAGAACAAAGGCTATTTAAGATCTCTCGGGCATTTAGGAAATAGAACTTATTTCAAAGGAAGGTAAATCCCCAGAATGGATTCTAGCTTGGTGTTTGAGTCCAGCCCCATGTAGCTGCCAGATCATAACGATCTCCTGCTGCGTTGTTCTCTCCTCTGTTTAGAATAAGGTCCTGGGGGTGGGAAGGGGACACAGACAGCACTGAGCTGTGGTCAGCCTCTCACATGGGCACTGTGATTCTTTTCAGAAGAAGCCACAAATACAACTGGGAAAGGAAAAATGGAGAGGGGTATCATTTGGTGGAAACAATATTTTAAAGTTTGCTAGGTCTTATAGCAAAAAAATCATGTGTGATAAAGCCTTAAACACCTAAAATTATTATTATTATTATTATTTTTTTTAATTTGCGAGAGAGAGAATGAGAGACAGAGAGCATGAGAGGGAGGAGGGTCAGAGGGAGAAGCAGACTCCCCGCCGAGCAGGGAGCCCGATGCGGGACTCGATCCCGGGACTCCAGGATCATGACCTGAGCCGAAGGCAGTCGCTTAACCAACTGAGCCACCCAGGCGCCCATAAGTCTCTTTTTCAATGACAGCCTAGCTGGATACAGTATTATTGGCTGCATGTTTTTTAAGATTTATTTATTTATTGAGAGAGAGAGAATGATAGAGAGAGAGCATGAGAGGGAGGAGGGCCAGAGGGAGAAGCAGGCTCCTCGCTGAGCAGGGAGCCCGATGCGGGACTCGATCCAGGGACTCCAGGATCATGACCTGAGCCGAAGGCAGTCGCTTGACCAACTGAGCCACCCGGGCGCCCCACCTAAAATTATTTTTAAGGCATAATCCAAATCCTTTCTTTCCCTTTAAAATAAATATATTTCTTTTGGAAGAAAATACAACGTAGTTGACTCCCCCTGCCCCAGGATGGTATAAGGAAAGTGTCTTCAAATGTTTTGGTTTAATCGAGTTTGAAGGGGCTAAAACAAACCCCCCGTATCAATTTTCTACCCGACACTCCCCGAACTCTTCTTACCAAGAAGAATGAGAACAATGTGCTGCTTCAAATGAAGGGACGAACAGAGCATGGATTTTTCGTAACTATTCCAAGGAAATAATTGATTCAAACCCAACCCAAACGAAACCGAAACAACAACAAAAAGAATCTATAAACATAGGCTGGTAATATCTAGAGACTGATCTCAGAAAACCAGATCCAGATTCTAGAAGATACTTCTTGGGGTTTCTTCCCAGCTCACATGATCATTTAACAGTCTCCCCTCACCCATAGGGGCAGGTTCCCGGCAACTGTGCTTGTACTCCCTATCTCTTGGCCCGTTGATTGGACCTCACCGGATGACATTGGACAAGCAGGACCAGTCAGATTCTCTCTTATGGAAACTTAGAATTAGTGCTAAAGATTTCAGCTTCATTCTGGGCTGTTCCCAGAATAATAGGAGCTATAGTGACTTGGGACTATAATGTCATTTCCTGCCATGTGGACTGAGCATTTGGAAAACTAATCTGTAGGATGGGGTTCAGGCGTCAGAACCCAGTTTGTGCAGTGAGGAAGCCTGGGGAGAACGTGCCCCTGTGTTCCTGGGGGCTTCCAGGTCCCATTTCCATCTCTGTCTGAGGCCTGGCAAGATGGCTTCTTAAGCTTTTGTGAGCATCTAAGTTAAGAGGGAGAAAGAGAGTCATCTGCTTGGCCCCAGGGCTCCTTCATGAGAGGTGGAGGGGAAGTTATCTTGAAGTATAAAATGAAGTCACATCTTCAAAGTTGAGGGTCAAGCTGTATATAGCAGATAAAGTCCGTTAGCAAACTAATGTCTACTAAGGGTCAGTAAATCAGGAGAGGGTGGCTGTTTTCACACATCTGTCCTCAACTTAATGGTTCATTTATTTAACTGATGACTGCTGTTTTTATGGGGGTCTAATATTTAGTGGGCTCAGGAGAGTGATAAATAGGGCTCTGCTTAACTTTTTTTTTTTTTTAACCTACAGCCAATAATCCCATCTGTGGTAATCCAGGACCACCAACTAATCATATGATTTCAAGACCTATTCATTTTCTCTGCAAATAGAGCACAATTTCAAGTAAGTGAACTTGATTACAGGAGTGGAAATGGGGTCCCCACAGTCAGAGAGTGAGGCTGATGGTCTCTACACTGAGGAATAGGAGAGGAGAACTAGGTATGTGGTGTTCTTCCCAGAGTCCTCTAAGATCAGAGCTTCATCATCAGAAGACTGAAAGTGAGAAACAGTCCTTTGGACAAGAATAGAAAATGCTGAGCATCATAAATCCAGACAAGTGTAAGACCACTAGAATGTACAAGATGCAAAGAAGTGGCAAAGTAGCATATGTGCTCTTTACGAGCCATGGGGCAGAAAGCTCAGGTGATGCATAAAATGTGAAATCCTTAGGAAATCTCCAAATTCATAATAACCATTCCCACCCAATATTATTTTCCTATAGCAGCAAAAAGACCAAAATAGTCACATTTTATTTATTTTTTTTAAGATTTTATTTACTTGACAGAGAGAGAGATAGCGAGAGCAGGAACACAAGCAGGGGGAGTGGGAGAGGGAGAAGCAGGCTTCCTGCCAAGCAGGGAGCCGAATGTGGGGCCCGATCCCAGGAGCCTGGGATCATGACCTGAGCCAAAAGCAGACGCTTAACGACTGAGCCACTCAGGCACCCCAAAATTGTCACATTTTAATTCACTTCTTTTTACTACCCTTACTGGTATAGAGGTGTGTAGGAATGAGGCATGTGGTGGGGGACCAGGGGTGGTGGGGGAGGAGGCGTCAAAACATTTGGCAGAGCTAATTAACAAGTTTAATTAGGATCATAGTAGAATGAAGTCAATGATGATGATCATCACCATAAATCAAAAGAAGGGAGCAAGGTCAGGGTTAACAGACAGGTTAATAGACAGAGTAACAGCCTATGGCAGGGAGTGAGGACAGGGCCTTCCACACATGAAAGCTCTCAAATTTAGACCTTGACATCACTTTCAAAGAAAGTTTATATATTAATATATAGTCACAGAGATATACTCACAACACTGAAAGAAGATCTTCCTCATGCAACTTAATACTTTTATCCAATTTCTGGACCACACCCATAGCACACTATGAATTTGTTCATTTCTCTAAATCTTGTACACTAGTCCCCCTCTTATCTGTGGTTTTGCTTTCCATAGTTTCAGTGACTGGTGGTCAACTGTGGTCTGGAAGCAGATGATTCTCCTTCTAACATATCATCTGAAGGTCAAGAGTAGCACATACACCCCAATGTTCAGAGCAGCAAAGTCCACAATTGTCAAACTGTGGAAAGAGCCGAGATGCCCTTCAACAGACAAATGGATAAAGAAGTTGTGGTCCATATACACAATGGAATATTACTCAGCCATCAGAAAGGATGAATATCCAACTTTTACATCAACATAGATGGGACTGGAGGAGATTATGCTAAGTGAAATAAGTCAAGCAGAGAAAGACAACTATCATATGGTTTTACTCATATGTGGAACATAAGTAATAGAGCAGAGGACCACAGGAGAAGGGAGGGATAACCGGGAAGAAATCAGAGAGGGAGACAAACCATGAGAGACCCTGGACTCCAGGAGACAACTGAGGGTTACAGAAGGGAGGGGTGGGAGGATGCGGTAATCAGGTGATAGGTATTAAGGAGGGCACGTGTTGGGATAAGCAATGGGTGTTATATGCAACTAATGAATTGTTGAACACTACAACAAAAACTTAGGATGTACTATATGTTGGCTAACTGAACATAATGAAAAAAAAAGTAGCCTAATGCTACATCACAATGCCTTGTCATTCATCCCCCTTCATCTTATCACGTAGGCATTTTATCATCTCACATCATCACAAGAAGAAGGGTGAGTACAGTGCAATAAATATTTTGAGAGAGAGACAGAGAGAGAGATCACGTTTACATAACTTATATTACAGTGTGTTGTTATAATTGTTCTATTTTATTATGGTTGTTAATCATTTCCTATGCCTAATTTATAAATTAAACTTTATCACAAGTATGTATGTATAGGAAAAAATAGTATATATAGTTCAGTACTATCTGATTTCAGGCATCCACTGGGGGGCCTTGGAATGTATCCCCTCTGGATAAGGGGGGGACTGCTGTAATTATCTTGTGACTGGCACAGATACTGCTTTGTGTTTTTGGTGTCTAAAAAATACATTAATTACATTTAAGGCGTACTATGTTATAAACCCCGTTACACATTTTCTTCTAAAAAATGTTAGTAGCTTAGGCCTCTCCTGATCTCTGAGAGCACCTAGGTTTGGAATACAAGAGTTTATGATTTGGAGGAAAGCATAAATAAATCCCAGGAAGCAAGGTGAGATGTACAGAAGACAAGGATCAGGCTTGCTATGGCAACAAATGGCACGATGGAGGTCAAAACCAGGTAGAGGAGGACCTAGCACATGGTCACTGGCTAGGATTGGTTGCTCCTAGAATTATCCCCTCCCTGCATGACCCAGGTTCTTGGGGGAATGCCTGAGTGCTCAGGTGTCCCACTTCCCAAAAACATCCTGTGGCTTGCCAATGGGCAGGAAGTGTAATTGCTGAATAATTAGTCCATGAATCATTGAGAATCGACTGGTATGAAATAATGAGGAGGGATGCCCTCTGGGTTAGGAAACACATTTAATACTGGAAGCCTGAAATTCAGGTAAAACTAAATCATAAGTTTGTCATTTTCAGCACCTATATCAACCCCAAACTGTATGTGATTGATTAAAACAAGTTGTAAGAAGAGCACACCATAAGAGGAGAAATGTCTATCAGCAAACAACTAATATGGGTACTGGAAAATTACTAACAAATCAAACTAATGGTGGACAGAACCATGAAGAGGGATGATTTACTACATATGTCTTTCTTCAAATGGCCCACCCAATACTAATGAGAATTTGTTGTCTTAGGTCTTTAAGTCATCTCAAAGGAAAAAATGTCCTCCCCTCCCTGCCACCTACTCAGCGAGTGGCCCTCTTTTGGTGGTTTGCTGGGACGATTCTTCTATAACACCTTGTGTTCATTTGCTGTCATTTGAGATGGGGACTGTCCCTTGTACAGTTCACACCTGCAGTACGTAGTATAGTGTCTGTCTGTCCTCTCTGATCCTTGTGCTTATGTCTCTTGCACTTGCCACTCTCCAGCCAGCTACAGAAGAACAATGGGTTTCTCAACCAACCTAGGCCACAGCCCTTTTACTCCCCATACATGTGGTAGCTAATCTCTGGCTCCCCCTTTTGGGTATCTACATGCACTGCCCTCTTTAGCTTCTGTGACTTTTTTCCACCTATCTCTCTGGTTCCCTGATCCAGGCCCAGCAGAACCTCTCTGGTCAAGCTGACATTTCCCCCAGAGCACTTATATACCTCATACTAGGTATATAAGCAGATTCAATGGATAGGCTAAAAAGTTCTTTTTCTGTTTTAATATGTTCAAGCAGTTTCTTTGGAGCAGTCTAGTCATAGCTCATCTGTAGTGATACTTTTTTTCTTTTAAAATAATAAAATAATTAATTCAGCAAGCATTTATGGAAGGCCTTCAATATATATTGAAGACTCAAATATAGCACCAAGCCCTGAAGATACAAAGCCCTCTCTTTCTCCTCCACCCTCCCTCCCTCCCTCCCTCCCTCCCTTCCTTCCACATATTCAGTATTTTGCTAAGTACCTAGAGATGGAGAGACAAATAAAATGCAGTCCTGGTTCTCAGAAGGCTTTCAATCTAGTTAGCAACTCAGAAAAGTCCATGGAGAATGAAATTACACATAGATGTGGTAAGTGTTGTGCTAGGGGTTTGCATGGGGTCCCAGGAGTGTGTGTGTGTGTGTCTGTGTGTGTGTCTGTGTGTGTGTGTGTGTGGTGGTGACAGCAGTGGAAGTGTTGTCTGTCTTAGCCTGCAGAGGGTCAGGAAAGCTTCCAGAGGAAGAGACCCTGGAACTGAGGTCTAAAGAAGTAGAATTTGTCTGGGGGTAGAGGTTTCAGAGGCACCAAGCAGGGGGAACATCTTATGCAAATGTCCTGAGGCCAAAACCTCTTGGTGTGGGGGGGGAATTACAAGTGGTTTGGAGTGTGGAGGGATGAATCTGAAAACGTCCTCAGGGACTGATTTATAAATAACCCTGTGTATGTCACTAAGGAATCCTGCAAAAGGTGTGAAGACTGAAGAACTTCATGTTTGTACCATATTAGTTTGGCATTTAAAAGATATTTGGCCAGCTAGAATGTGGATTGTTGACTTCCAGGCCAATAGGCAGGCCTGCAAGCCTAGAATCCAGTTAGGAGGCAGGAACAGTAATAGAAGTAAGAGTTAAAAAGAAAGCATCCTTGCCTTCCAAACACTCCCAGTCCGGGGCTCACTAGAAATCACTTATCATAACAGAGTGAGGTACATATTGATGGAGGCAGGGATACAGCACAACTTAGCACGGACGACCACTGTGGACCGTATGATTTTAAGTTCCACTCGTCTTTAAAATTCTGCAACTCTAGGCTACCTAGTTGTGGGAAATGATGCCTCTGAGCCTCTCTGCTTTGAGGCTAGTGGCATATAAAAGAGGAACCCCATAAGAATATTCATCATAATACCATTCACAAGAAAGAAAAACCAGTAAACAACCCAAAAACCCATCAGTGGGAGAATGAAGGAATAGATTCTTGTAGTGACACAATATTCTACATAGTCAGGGGAAATAAACTACAGCAATGACACTATGTTATGTTATGGATGGAACTTAGACGTATAAATCTAAGTGGTAGGTCCCAAAAGATTATATACAATGGGATACTCTCTTCATAAACTAAAGAAATAAATAAAATAAGTTTTAAAGAAATATATATAATAAATATAGTAAAATTCTAATTATTTTATGTAGTTATATTATTTTACCATTAATTATAATTATTAATCATTAAGCTATTAATCCATTAATATTTGAGTAAGATTAATTTTCTCTATTACATTGACATATACTTCTTATATACTAATTATAATTAACATATTACATATATTTATTCTATTTATTATTTATATATAAATATATATTACACATATTTATTAGTATAGATATGTATAAATTTAACATAATATATATTAACATAAGTATATATACATGTATACTAAAACTACAGAAAAAGGAAAGCAAGAGAAAGATGAATATGGAGTTTATTAAGTGGATGGAGAAAAGCATGAGAATGAATGACCGAGGGACTGGATGGTTAGAGTAAATTATAATCAAGGTCCTAGACTTAGTTTTGGGTGGTGGGTTTGGAAGCTAATTACTTTATTCAAAGTAACTAAGTAACCAAATAATAAATATAAGAAAGCCATGTATGGATCGTTGATGAGAAAATGCCATGAATAGGAAGGAATATGATTTATCTGATCCAGTGCACCTGAGCTCAAAAAAGAAACACAAGCGAAAGAAGGAAGCAGACAGATTATAATGGCGCCCAGGTGGGATCCTGAGAGGCAAGGGCTAGGGCTTGTGGAGAGAGCCAGGAAACCTGAGGGAGGAGAGAGGAGAACCTAAGAACATGGTCTGGGACCTGAGCTGGGAGACAAGGGAAAGGCCGGGGTTCTTTGGAGAGTCTTTAGGTCCGGACAGTAGGATCTGGTTACTTGTTGCTAAAATTCCTCCTGAAAGGCTCTTGAAGAGAAATCGAGCCAGGTGCCACACTCTATGTAATTCAAGGGGAGCCTTTGCCTCGAGTGGCAATGGATCTGAGTCAGGTCTGAATGTTCCACTACTAACAAGAACAGGAACACAGCTCAAGCCCTTGTTCAGTGAGTACATCCAGCTGCCTGGCAGCTTTCCTGTTGCCCCCACATCCCAGCAACTGGCCCAGGTTAATGTGCTAGCATACTCACAGTTTTACGAGGTCCGGTCCAAACATTCTTATCACTAAATAGCAGGTGGTCTTCAAGAACAGCTTTTCTAAGAAAAAAGAAAGAAGGGGAAATAGATTATTTTTTATTCTGATGAATTTAACACATGAGTTAAAAATAATCATCTTTTACTAGGAATTGATGCTGAATGATTAATTAATGAGTAATTATAAGGGCTTAGGGGAAATGTTACAGTTAACGTATTCATTAAAACATCATCTTAGGTTTATGTGAATGCCACTTTGTTTACTGTACATGATAAAGATCACCAGTTTATTATAAAAAAACAAGTTAAATTTTTGGGTTTTATTTTCTTTTGTACAGCAAGGAATATCTGGTGAAGATCTCCTTTGTTGAAATAAAACAGGACTCACTGTAAATAATCTGAAATATAGCTCTGTTATAAATACTCTTCTTTCGTGTTCATTTGGGAAAAAAAGATTGCATTTTGGCTATTTATTTTTTGCTGTTGGTATTCCAGAGATAGGAGACTGTCAAGATCCCTGCACTGCCATCTAGACCAGAGAACACAGACACACAGACCCCAACACACACACACATTAACAAAGCAAACTCCTTCCTCTCCATTGTGACAGTACAGGGATGCTTTGTGGATTGATCTGTGCAATGAAATTTGTGAACCCTCTGGTCCTGTTTTTCCAGTTTGTGAGTCCACTGTGAAACCTTGGGAATTAGAACCTTAGCACAATTAAGACAGATGGGCCGTCTTAAGAAAATATGGGAATCTCTCCCTGATGGGAATTTATCTTGTCATGCTTATCTCAAACTGGGCTACTCATAACTTGCTTGGAGGGTAGGGTAGTGAAAGAACAGGATAAAAACTCTCTCTAGTACTTCATTTTTACTCAAGAGTAAATAATGTAAATATTTCTTTTGTATTACGATACATCTATTCATAGGGCTTTTTTTTTCTACAATAAAGCATGAACTTCAAACACACTGTGCTTTTGAAGTAGGAACTTAAAACTATATCCCCACATTGACCTTATAGAACCATGGGGGAATACTATGACATCTGTTGACAGCAAATTAGATAACTAGATGAGATAGACAAATTCCTAGAAAGACAGGCTGCCAAAACTGGCTCAAGAATAAATAAACAATCTGGATAGATGTATAACAAGAGATTGAATTAGTAATCCAATGCTTCCCCCAAAGAAAAGCTCAGAACCAGATGGCTTCACTGGTGAATGATACCAAATACCTAAAGAAAGCATCTGCATAGATTTTCTCCAAAAAAGATAAACGAATGGCCAATAAGCACATGCTCAACCTCTTTAGCTATTAAGGAAATGCAAATCAAAACCACAACGAGATACCACTTCACACCCACTATGATATGGTATAATAAAAATGACAGATAATAGCAGGTACTAATGTGGAGAAATTAGAATCTTCATACACTGCTGGTGGGAACATAATACAGTGCAGCCACCTTGGTTAATGGTCTGACAGTTCCTCAAATAGTTCAACATACAGTTGCCATACGATCCAACAAGCCCACTCATAGGTATATACCCAAAAGAATAAAAAATATACATCCATACAAAAATTTGTACAGGGATGTTCATAGTAACATTATTTAAAATAGCCGAGAAGTGGAAACAATTCAACCCAAATGTCCATTCATAAATGAATGAATGAACTAAGTGGGCTATATCCATGCAGTACAATATTATTCAGCTGTGAAGAGTAATGAAGCTCTGCTACATGCCACAACTTTGATGGACATTAAAAACATTATGCTCAGTGAAAGAAACATAATTTCATTTATATGAATTGTCCAGAAGAAGCAAGTGCATGGAGATAGAAAATGGATTAGTGGTTGCTTAGGTCTGGGGAGGACAGATATTTGGGGTGGTGACAGCTTAGAAGTGCGAGGGTCCTTTTCAGTATAATGAAAATGTTCTAAAATTCATTGTGGTGAAGAATATACATCTCTGGGAATATATTAAAAGCCATTGAGGTATACATTTTAAATGGGTGAATTGCATGGTAGGTGAATTATACCTCAATATACCTGTTTTAAAATAAAAACATCTCCTCTTCCCCCTGGATGCTCCATTTCAGGAGAACTGCTGTGGGCATGTCAAGAACCCCTGATGTCACAGGACTCAGAGACTGGATTTCAGCACCTGTCTGACCTTCAATTGCTTACCCTTTCTGGGGCTCAATTCCTTCATCTGAAACATGTGGGAAAGGGATTCAGTCCCCTTCACTAGACCATCTAGGAACTTGGGAGAATTATGTAACGGACGTTCAAAGTTACATGAATTGGCAAAGCACTCCGCAAGTGAGTTTCAAGTATGCCTAATGTAGAACTAGTTTAGCTGAGAGCTGGGCAATATTTTGCTCTTGCAGTACTGCTTGAAAGAGAAAATTTGCCTTCTTTCTGGTAAAATAAAAGATGTTGGTGTGTGTGTGTGTGTGTGTGTGTGTATTTTTAGAACCCTCTTTTGCTCAGGTTGAAATGAGTGGCTGCAAGTTTCTCCTTGCTCTCTGAGTAGGACCATCTGAATGATCCATTTCTTGAATGGATTCTGTGATCATTTCCCAGATGGATTCTGTGATGATTAAGAGTAAGGGGCTCCTGGAGCAATGGCTGGTTTGGAACATGAGATGGCCCCTTGACAGCTAAATTCTAGGTCAGCACAGAAGGGTACAGAGTGGAGTCATGCAAAGTCTCCAGAGCAAGCCAGATAGAGCCCAGTCAGCATGATCAGATGTAACTTCACTGTTAGTGATACAACCATGGAAAAGATAGTTGCTCACATATTGCTAGTCACCTATCTGATGTAAAATGTATACAGTTAAACTATCTGTGACCAGGAAGGTACAAGAGCATTTAATTTCTACAGAGTCAGACTTGGAACAGCATAGGAGAAAAAAATGTGGCCATTCCCAAGGGCAAAAGAGGGTTAAAAAGGAGCAAGTGAGCAGTCATCGTACATTAAATATATACATGTGTTTGTAAATAAAACCCAGAACATTCTAGGTTGTAATTCACCTTCACATTTACCATGAAGAAGTTTCTCATAAGAACCTTTTGAGGGGTGAGATACCACCTCACACCAGTCATAATGGCTAAAATTAACAAGTTAGGAAACGACAGATGTTGGCGGGGATGCGGAGAAAGGGGAACCCTCCTACACTGTTGGTGGGAATGCAAGCTGGTGCAGCCACTCTGGAAAACTGTATGGAGGTTCCTCAAAAGGTTGAAAATAGAGCTACCATATGACCCAGCAATTGCACTACTGGGTATTTACCCCAAAGATACAAAAGTAGGGACCCAAAGGGGTACGTGCACCCCGATGTTTATAGCAGCAATGTCCACAATAGCCAAACTGTGGAAAGAGCCAAGATGTCCATCGACAGATGAATGGATAAAGAAGAGGTGGTATATATATATATATACAATGGAATATTATGCAGCCATCAAAAGGAATGAAATCTTGCCATTTGCAACGACGTGGTTGGAACTGGAGGGTATTATGTTGAGTGAAATAAGTCAAACAGAGAAAGACATGTATCATATGATCTCACTGATATGAGGAATTCTTAATTGTAGGAAACAAACCGAGGGTTGCTGGAGTGGTGGGGGGGTGGGAGGGATGGGGTGACTGGGTGATAGACACTGGGGAGGGTATGTGCTCTGGTAAGTGCTGTGAATTGTGCAAGACTGTTGAATCTCAGATCTGTACCTCTGAAACAAATAATGCAATATATGTTAAGAAAAAAAAAAAGAAGAAGAAGGTAGCGGGAGGGGAAGAATGAAGCGGGGGAAATCGGAGGGGTGGACGAACCATGAGAGACGATGGACTCTGAAAAACAAACAGGGTTCTAGAGGGGAGGGGGGTGGGAGGATGGGTTAGCCTGGTGGTGGGTATTGAGGAGGGCACGTTCTGCATGGAGCACTGGGTGTTGTGCACAAACAATGAATCATGGAACATTTCATCTAAAACTAATGATGTAATGTATGGGGATTAACATAAGAATAAAAATAAATAAATAAAAAAAAATACTACAAAAGTAAAAAAAAAAAAAAAAAGAACCTTTTGAGGGAGTGTTTATTCTTACCCTTGTTCTATAGGGAGGAACCTTAAGGTTTAGAGAGCTTAAGGCCCCAGATCCCAGATCTACGACATGGTTTAGGAAGAGTTTAACTTTTTTACTCCAAAAGCCCATGTTGTTTGTAGAGTGCATTTCAACGTACTTAGAACATTTTATCTGATGCTTCGTCTACTCCAGGTGTGGCAGGTACTGTGATACACTGAGTGGGAAATTTGAAGCCCCGGGAGATTAAACGACCACAAAGCTAGTTTTGAGGCTCTGTTTTCTAGTTTGTTTGTAGATTTTCAGAATCTCCAGTACGCGAAGAGGGATTCCCTCTTCATTTTAAATCCACACGAGTTTTTAGCTATCATATTCCATGAAGATAAGATTTTTGCATAGGGGACCCAAGAAAGTGAAGCTCTAGCAAGGGTCTCAGGGCATATGAGTCTACTGACCCCTAGGGAGAATGATTCCATTAATCATTTTTCCATTAACAATTCTGAGATTCTTCCAAGGTGTTTACTAATGAGAGCCAGCAGCAAAAGCAGCAGGTGAAACTGAAGGTCAGTAATGCTTTGCAGAATTAAAAAAAAAAAAAATCATCTTCCCAGGCAAGGAAAGGCCAACGTGATTTACTGAGTGATTATTCTCAAGAATGGTGCTTACATGCTTTCAGTCTGCTAAGGTTATGTCTTCCGAACTTGTTTTGCTTTGGAGGTAAAAGCAATGCTATTTAAAAATAATTTTAAAAATAATACCTGTGTGTTGAAGTCCATAATTTCACGTCCTCTGTCTCCCATTCTCCTGGCTATGGTTCAGGCCTATTTTGATTTCAAGAAAGAGAAATCCTGAGCTAGGAGACAAACTATCTTTGTCACCCTCTACAATCTGCATAGCCATTCTGCACCCTGGTTTCCACATCCGTAAAATGGCAACAGTAATGCCCCCCGTGACTTCACGTATGTCAAATGAAAG